ATTCAATATTATTCAAAATGGGTGACTCTGGAGGACATTATACTAAGTGAAGTATCTCAGTCACAAAAGGACAAATACTGCATGGTGCCACTGCTGTAAAGCAGGACTGACCTCGGGGTTGGGAGGAGACTAAGAAGGATGGGTTCAATAATATATACTGCATTGAAACAGATGAGGGAGGAAACTGTTTAAGAGGGAAAATTATTAGGTATTTTTGTCATGACAGGAGTCCAGAGCAAAGGCTGTATAGTGGAGTGGACCTGGGGGGAGGGATTGTAGGACAATGAAAGAATTTTTCTTTTACTTTTCCAAGAAGGTAGTGCACTAGGGGGGAGGGGGGAGAGGGGAGAAAAGTGCAACAATGAATGAATGGAAATAAAAAAAAGAAGTGTATTCTAAATTACTTTAGTCTTTGCAATTGAAAACCAAAGTATTTCAGTTATTTCATGGGAAATAGATGACAAAAAATTCTTCTCTGATATCCAGCCATTTTCTCAAAAGCTGTTCAACTACAAGTTTTATCCAACTGGCATAGTACCCATCTGTTGGGCAGATAATAATTTTGATTATGTGCAACCACAGCAGATATCCATTGTAAGACATTAAGTTATTTATTAGTCTATATGTCTTAGCTTCTATCCTGATTGCATTAAGAATACTATGGTGTAAAGGACACTTTAATAAAAGTTTGATGACTTTTACAAAAAAAAAAAAAAGCTCATGAAATACAAAATGGGTGACCCTGGAGGACATTATGCTGGGTGAAATATCTTAGTCACAAAAGGACAAATACTGCATAATGCCACTGTTGTAAAACAGGACTGACATCAGGGTTGGTTGTAGATTGAGAAAGGTGGGATAAATAATGTATACTGCATTGAAACAACTGTTTCAAAGGGATAGGTGGTTAGGTATTATTGTCATGACAGGAGTGCAGAATGAAGGCTGCAATTCATCTTTTGATTTCCTGATTGCTCGTATTAAGAGTGTTGATTGTGGAACTGACAAACCTGTAGCTGTTAACCTCAGTCTCTTCTCTATGTATTATGGTGCTGCCAATTGGCCCAGTGGTGAGAATTTTTGTC